CCCCCACTTGCTTTTTCAGAGAGGCATTCTCTTTGTTTGCTAACTCCAGGGCCTCAGCAACTATCCTCTGGTGGTTGCCCAATATCTCCACCCTCTTAATTAAAGAGGCAACCTCACTTTGTGACAGGTGGACTTCCTTTTTCAAATTCTCTATTATCGCTAATGCAGAATAGAGTTTCATTGACTCTTAGACCTGACTCTTTTTCAGAGCCTCCACTTCTGACGAAGCTTTATTCGCTGCCTCATTGGCCTCGGTAGCCCAGGTCAAATACTCCTTAGCTTTATTCATGAGATTTTTAACAAGGGCATCAATCTCAATGGCAATTCCAAATGCCCTCGCCGTTTGGCTTACCATGGTATGAATACATCAGCACACTCGCTGGACTCCACGGAAAGCTGTCAACGCTCCGTCTAGTACTTATAAAACATTGTTGAAACAATCTGCACTTCTAGAGGCAGCATCGTCGAAACCTCCAGGGATAGCTCATCGCTTCTATATGAGATGGAGAGTTTCAGGCGAGGGGTGGCCTCCGTAGAAGACGACCCACTGGAGGTCTTCAACTTCTTTTTAGAACCACGGAGGGGCTCCATTTCAGTGGCCCTCTTCTGAGCCCCCCTTGCAATAGTAATGGAGGTTTCCCAAGGGCTTCTTTGACAACAGCCTCCATACTGACCCTCTCGACATGGTCCATCACATGTTTCCCAGCAACAGCAACAAATGACAGCTTCACCCATTTTTTTCCCAATAGACGCTATTGTAGGCCTACCTCTACTGGCCATCAGGTTGAACTCTTCAAAGAAACACCTCGAAACAACGAGCCTCTCGAACTCCTGTGACGAAGCCGTGTATAAATAAATATCTTTGATAAGCTCAAGTTTCGATGAACTGAGCTCAAACCTATCAATGCCTTTTGCACACAACAAAGAGACCATCGCATCAAACAACACATGAAATATATTACCATGCATAAAGCATTAAAAATGTCACTCGCTGGCTTAGAGTATGAGGTTGGAGCTGTCACATGAGAAATGGTGTCACCCTCGTAGACCTGCCATTTCCCCCTTGCCCAAAATCATATCTCCTTCCACTCCTTGATAGAATAGGTGAGGCCTACGACAAAGGGCGCATGTGACCCCCATAGGCATAGGGAATACCACCCTCTGGAATCCCCTTTTCCTAGCGACCTAGGTTGGAACAAGGTCTGAATCACATGAAGGGACATGTCCTCGCCCAACAAGGTCTCCTTCTAAAGGAAGTACTACCCCACCAGTTGAGCCCATGCATTGGGAATAAACTGGGCAGGAGTCAACCCATATAACCTAATGACGGCTCTAAAGAATGGATAAAATTGAAGTCGAAGACCCCCACTTTTAGAAGGAACCAGTTGACAGCTACACGCCTCGACTTCAGGTAACAGGCTCGCTCATCGGGGGAAGGGGCTAATAGCTCAATGTCGTAAGGGATATGATATTTTTCTCTCACGTTCCTTAAAAAATGGGCATCTGTAATGGATTGAATTTTTTCTACCCCCCATCCCTCGCTCCCAATCCCTCTCCCAACTATCGGAAAGCAACTCCGGCCAGCCTTAATGGCCTCAACCAGGTCAGAGTACTAGTAATCTCTACCCCATTTCAGCACCCAACCTCCTCACATCTACCCCCTCAGATGAAGAAGACACCATGTTAGTGACAAAACTTACAAAATTCTTTAGATAATTACGAAAATTGGCTCGATGAGAGCACAAAATTTCTCAAATTTCAAAAAGGCTGAAAGTGAAGAAGATGGTGAAAAGCACAGAGAATGCAAGGAATTTAAGAGCACAATACCACGGCAAAAGTGAAAATTGACTTTCGCCTAAGTTTTCTCCTTTTATAGACAACCATGTCTGATCCTGGCCGTCGAATTCAAAGATTTAGTCCCCAAATCGTTCATCTGGCAATCAAATCTAAGCCGCCCATAACGTCTACCATTTTACATTCTGAGGCCCAGATTACATAGTGACCCACACGCGCTTCCCTTCACCTAGGGAAGAAAATGCATGCCCATAACCGCCATCATTGCATTGTCAATTACGTCTATTGGAATACGAACTGGTGCCAGCTGTCCTTTCCAGCAATTGCAAATGACAACTAATCATTACAGCACAATGCTCAATAACCTTCACACGTCACCACGCTGACCCATACAATATTCCCAACCACACACCAAGTCATACTCTAAGGCTCATCGCTTCGGCAAAATTTCCATCTCACAACCTCGATATAAATGAACGTCGATCCCACTTGCTCATCCTCAAAATAACCTTCGAGTCCCTCCGATTTCACCACAAACTCTAATTTCCACATCAATGTTTGCAAATTAGACTTGGGTAACAACATTATTAAACAAAATTCTCAAAACTAACGAAACATAAATTCCATGTATCACATGAATGATTATACATAAACTTGGGGACTATTGTTACTAATCATGAGCGCGCTCCCAATAAGATCCACGTGGAAGCCTTATGTTTATACACGTGGCATTGATGTCAAATAAAGCAGGAGGTCACAGGAGTAGACATCCGAGGTTGTGTGCATTGAGTACCAAGGTCGTTTTGGCCCGAGGTGGATCTACTTCTTGCTATGGAACTTCTTAGGCTTTGAAGTCCTAAGCAATCAAAAGAGGATCTAGCAAGCGCATCTCTGGAGTTGATTGATGCGACATTCCTCATTTAATGGATGTCAATGACGTCAGCCTAGGGTTATAAGGTGGTTGACCTATTGCCAAAAGTCTATCAATGTAATTAATGTGAAATAGAGTCGATGTGACGTCATAGTCTAACATATCAGGCCATGTGGATCGAATCCAACGGTGATCACGTCGGCCTGATCACTATAAATAGGCAATGCTTGTATTATTTTGGGGGATGGATCTTTTGACAAAGGAGGAATTAAGAGCATAATACATAAAAGGAAAAGTTTTCTAACATTTATCTTCTTCTTCATCCACGAGCATACGTATTTACAATTGACATACTACAACGATACGTCCACATGTTCACTATCTTCTAACAATACCTGTTGGTCATTTTCGAAGGTCAACAATATTTATCTTTTATCAACCTTTGTTTCTCTTTTTCTCAAAAGTCGACCATGATCATAGGACCTAGATACATAGTTACATGTATAAGCAACAAAAGCGTCACGTTCCAACTTTGTCATCAATCAAAAAAGTGAAGATAAATAGAATAAATAACAAAAAGGTGTTTCTAATACAATTTAAATTTCATTAAACTAAGTTTATGTTATTTTCATGCACCACCAACTCCAATAATAATTTATAATTATTATTACTTTTATCTTTTTAATAAATCTACTTTTTTTCAATAATATGGCATATAACTGTGTCGGAATTTGTTAGCAGCATTAGTGCCCAAAACGTAAGATTCCACCTTCACATTCACAAGTTTATTGCATCGACCAAATTTTCCCGATTGAGCTCTCCAACATTTTACGTAGAGTAATTTTGGATTGATTTAAATCATTTGTACAGCAAATGAATTCACATAATTGCTACAAATGCTCACATGAGGGTGGAATCTACGCGTTATAAAATATTGTCCAATAAAATCTCACACCATTAATATTGTGTGTATACTGTAAAAGTTCTATAAAATTATTTTAGACTCTCTCTTTTGCATTCTAGAATCTAGATCTATAATTTTACTTTATTCTTCATCTGAATTGGAAAAACCGTTAACAAATAGAGAGACGTGGGAATCTAGAATAATTAATACTCTTTTTTGTCCGTACACGTGTCATGATCTGAAAGTTCCTTACATCAGAATATGCAAGGCTAACGTATAGTGTGGCCCTCAAAGAAACCACAGCCAATAGGATTCTGCCACGTATATGTGATTGTAGCCAGTCCACTTGCTTTCGTAAAATTATTGTGGGCCCTACTAAAGACAAAATCATTCTGCCGACAGCTTTAAAGACAAATTTAGAAGTAATATTTGTAATTGAGTCCCTCTAGTTTTGGATAATGAACAGATAATAGCTTTTAGTTTTTGAAAATTGCAAGTTCATCCCAAGAATATGTATAGTGTCTAGACGAGCCTTGAAAGATTTTTGTATTTGCTTTGTTATTACTCTCATTGGGCTAGATTTTGATTAATGAGACATTATGTTAAAGAAAATTGGATAGAAATCAGTTCTTATAAGAATATTGGTCGAGTTCCTATTTGTTACTAATTATTTACTACTAGTTAAGGTGACATATGGTACATGTTTTTACAAAGTTTTAATATGTGTACAAATTGATTTTAAAATTCTTAAACTTGGAAGATATGATCACTGAGTAGTGGAGCGGCCGTTAACAACGTAAAAAGATCAATATTAGATCTACCATTGTATACTCCTATGTGTAAAGATAGTAATAAAATCATAAGAATGTGGTCAAAAAGTGAGCTAATTCTAGCAAAATAAAGATCCAACTAAAGCTAATTGCCATCACATCATCATCAATCACGAGAATGAGGATATGGGACCCCCAATAATAAAGAAATTACAACTTATTAGGAATCACGACAAAATTTAAATTGACGATAAATAATTTTTACTTTCAAAAATATACATTTACTAATGTGTTCCCTGACATGAGTTTCGTACCTTAAGAGTTAAAACAATATGATACTTACACTTCTCTCGATGAAAATTGAGTAGACAAAATATTCATGTAGTCAAATATTAGCTAGGTATATATCAACATTGTTTATTTGACCAATAATTTGTATTGTTTAGGTAGATTTATCAACCATGAAGATTTTACTCATTATGTGAAATCATACATGTACCAACTACAAATGAAAATATTTTGTGGGTAAAGTTGGAGTGAAAAGTGTACAAATGACAAGGACTTTCATGTAATGGGCATATTTTAATAAAGAACAAACAAAGTAGGCAAAATAGAATATTTATGACCAAAAAAAAATTAAAAAAAAATCAAGATTTTTTATCAACAATAGTGTCTCCAATCACATTTATCAATCCAATTATTCTTCTTGAAATCTCCTTACTCCACTTTTATTTTTCTTCATCGCCCCCGTTTGATTATAATCCTAATCAAGATCAGATTTAGCTCTTAAAAACGCGTTGATCATTTTACAACGGATTTTCGCATATCGATCGCCATTTACACATCATTCACAGTCGAATCTAGTGTGGTGTTTTGGTATGTTAAATGCTCAAAGAGCCATAGCTAGCAACGCTCAACCCGATGAAGATGAACATATTCGAGACATCCATGCACTAAGCCCGCCACGGCCGCCCTCCGCCACCCGAGCCGGCCGCCGCGGCCGAGAGCCTTGGGAAACAAGTAGCCATAGATCATCATCTTTATCCATGGCTAGCAATGATGGTACATCAAGTGAAAATTTTACCAGCATCAGTAGAGAATTTAATGCTCTTGTTCTTGCAGGATCTACAATAGCCAACGATGGAACAGAAAATGGTGAAAATAGCCATAGCTTAAACAATTTGCTAAGGATTGGGGAGGAGGAAATGGCTGAAGAAACCAACCCTTTGGCTATTGTGCCTGATAATAATCCATTTCAACCCATATCACCGCCACGTCATGGCGGTGATGGTGTTGCCGCCTCCTCCGCCGTCACTGAAGTTGTCTCTGTGCAGAGAGTGAAGAAAGAAGAGGTGGATGCAAAGATAAATGCATGGCAGAATGCTAAGATTGCCAAGATTAACAACAGGTTTAAGAGGGAGGATGCTGTAATTAGTGGTTTGGAGAGTGAGCAGGTCCAAAAGGCCACCTCGTGGATGAAGAAAGTCGAGGTAAGTGACAAAACATGTATTGTGTTTAAAATATGTTTTTCTTTGTTCAGTCTAACGTAGTAAATCGGAGAAGGACGATCAAACAATTCCGATCATGGACCTTGCAGATCAGATCATCCCATTTTATTGACGGGATTCATCACTACTTTAAATACTTTAGTGGGTCGGCAGTTATAAAAATAGAATTGCAACTGATACTAATGGTCAAAAATTAGTAAAAATCGGTTATAGCAAAACATTCTTGGGTGGAATTTTTGGTGGTTTTGAACCTTTGAACGTACTCACATTAGTCATATAGATAAACTTTTATGGGGCTTTTCAATTGTGTTCATCATATGATTACTTTGAAACCTTAGTATATCATTAATGTTATCCACTTTCGCAAAAAATTTTAGTAAATCATTAACATTGATTGTTTCTTTACCACTTTACTGAAGATACATGGCATAAGAGTCTTGTTACGGTTCTTGTTAAATGGATGAGTGATGTATTGTACATAGTGCGATAAATGCACGAAACTAGTCAAGTTTGATTTGCATCACTTCATATACACTCAAAGTGTATTTGTGAATTTTTTTTTTTTTTTGATGCAATATATATGCACTCAAAGTGGCCTGGATGATATCGAAGAATATTAAGAAAGAAAAAGAAATTTAAAATCTTGACTATTGTGCTCTCAAGTATTTATATATAGTAAATTGTTGATCCATTTTGTAGAGGAAGCTCGAGGAAAAAAGAGCAAAAGCCTTGGAAAAGATGCAAAATGATATCGCCAAAGCACGAAAAAAAGCTGAGGAAAAGAAGGCATCGGCTGAGGCCAGGAGAGGAACAAAGTTGGCTAGGGTTCTTGAGGTAGCCAACTTGATGAGAGCCATCGGAAGACCCCCGGTCAAGCGTTCTTTTTTTTAAGCACTATACTTTTGCAGAAAGTAACTCGTGTATTACTTTTAAGCTTAGCAAAAACATACTAATAGTAATAGTAGTGTGCAAGTGTGTACTTGTGTATATGGGATGTGAAATCAGCAATTTTATGTGTGAATTACTAGAATAAGGTGGAGATAGTTGAGAATAACCTTGAAGATGATATTTGTGTGGTAAACGAAAATGTAATGTTGCTTGCTCTAAATTTTAGTCGGATATTTGCTTTAGCATTGACAACTTTTTGAAAATCAATGCTGAACTTCTAGCTTGTTGCTAGTTCACGACTTTATCAAACAAGGAACATGTTCTTGTCACTGATTGTGTTTATTTCAATTCTCTGCATATTTTTTCTTTGAAATACATGTTGAATTCCATTTACTTAGCTAGTCTTCTTATACATATTTTGCTATTATACATATAGAATGTATTATGGGATTGGTTGCGAGGAGGGGGAGAACTTAGGTTGTGCATACATATTTGTTGTCGATGGCACAAATGTTCGACCAAAATCTCATGTTCGTGCTGAAAATTCTGACACTCGGATTCTTTAAAGTGACTTACTTCGACTAGACGTGTAGTGGAATCTAGATAATTAGTTTACAAGGATGTTTGAGTTATTTTAGCTCGACATTTTGAGATGAAACTTTAGCTTTAGTATCAGATTACAATATATAATTCTTTAGTTACAGTCGAATGAAGGTGGAAAGATAGCGATGGCTGGAAGAATATATTATCACTTGAAGAAGATTGAGTTGACGTGATATTCGTTCGATGAGTGATTATTGAAACAGTATAAAAAAAATTCTACACCGACTAAAAATGAGTAGATAATTGACCTATAAAAGACTTAAATTACTTTCTAAGAGATTTGAACTAGTCTATCTAATAAAGTAGGCCAAGATATATTACCGCTTCCCAGATATATTACCCATGAGAGAAAATTGGACGGTAGGCTGTTTCTTCCTAGTTCTTAATAACAAGATTAAGTACATTTAATAAGTTAGATAAAACGTTACAATCAAAATAATTAAACACACAATAAAATAGTCGATACATACTAATTCTACTTACCAAACATGTCGATGATATTTTTTCTTTCTGTGTACTTTTTATCTATCCTAATCTCTATATGACCAAACCTCTTTTTCAGTTAAGAGGTAGCATCAAGCATACATCCTATGGACATATTTGGTAACTTGTACCCAAGCCAACATTAAAAAAGATATGCAAGTGATTCGTGCAATATCATGTCAAATTGACATATTTTGTAAGATGAATTGAATAGCACTAACTCCTAGTTCTTTGCTTTTCAGATGCATCCAGTATTGACACGTCCAACGTGCACTAAATATTTTCCAAACCAAGACATCGTGTAAAGTTGATGGCATCAAATGAGCATCAATATTCATGAATAGAGTTTCACCATCATTCCTTGCAAAGTAAAATTCATTATTCCAGGCAATCAAAATATTATCCCCTGGCATCTCATCTCCATAAAGCTTCAAAAATAATGAGCATTTTCGCCCATCCACATCCCATGTCCTTATCCATCAAGAACCAATATCCAACTTTTGGGATTTGAAATCCACTAAAGCCATGTTCCAATTCCTTCTTGATAATATGATAATAGGAATTAAACATCAATCTAATGTACTAACAAAAACAATAATAAAAATATCAAAAGTTAGAAGAGTTTTCTCATACCTGCACACATATATAATGGCTCCCAAGAATCCTTTATATACAAAGAATATTGCGTCAACAGTAGTTTCATCTAGCAGCACATTTTCACTATAATGTTAAAAAAGAGCAACAAGAACAACCCACAACCGACCCTTCATAGACTATGAATATTAGGTAGATCTGCAGTCAAGGGGAGTATGATTAATCTCCCCACAGTCCAACACAACATAGCATAAGATGTAATAAAAATTAGGTAGCCATTCAAGAAAGAAAGAAATACCAAAATCAATATCATCTTATCCAAGAAATGAAAATATTTCAACCAAGTATAGCATTATTGTCTACTACTATCTTCCTACTAACAATATGGAAGCACCAAATTGACATGTATTACAAAACTCTATTAATAAGAAGTGTTTTGATAGCATTGAATGATTATGCTAATCCAACAAGCGAAACAATAAGGAATATAGACCTAAAATTAGTAAAAATATAAGTGAACGCAGTTATAATTGCCTACACTGGGCAATAGTTAACCCAGTAAACCGGCCATTTCTATTGCCTAGGTTTAACTAGTAAACCAAGACAGTAAAAGATTAGTGTTTTCTTCAAAACTTTTGGACCATCCCTTCTACTTCTTACCGAGCCAAGTTGCCTCCTTTCCGATGCCTGTTACTGAAAAAAAATCCAAAAACTAAATGCCGATCTTGTTCACCGAAACCTTATGTTTTTGGAATCTGAACCTACCAAAAGGCTTGGTAAAAGTAATTTTGATTTTACTGAGCCATCAGCTGATCAAGCTTCATCTGCTCAAGCAATGCACCCAAAGCAGTAGATTGATCAATATGTTCAATCTGTGAATCCAAATTTGCATTCTCGCTACTAGATGTAACCAAACCAGCTGTGCAAAGGACACGAGATGCAGATTTTTCCTTTGTTTCCTGTGGAGATTCTTTAACAAGTGACTGAACCCATGATGTATCAGGCTCCTCAGCACCGTTCAGAGTTTCGAATGATGATGATCTCTTTAGCTTACCAAACTCATCAGCATTGACCGCCCAGTCGGGCTTCCCAGTAGAGGATCCCCAGCTTGACCATGCATCTTCGGAAGAGGCAACAGCAGCCACAGCATTGGAGCCAAGATCACGTGAGCTGAGACTTCGAAACTGTTTTTGATGCTTCTCACATTGGGCCAACATTGAAACCCGAGAATTCATTGATGACATATGCTCCATACTGCGTGGCGACATCCTCCCTGAAGACGGAACACCAAAAGATGTTTGCAATAGGGCATGATCTATGTTTCTTGGTGAAAAAGGAGGGTCGACTGGAGATTGGATGTTCTGTTGCTGCTGCTGGAATTGATTAAGAAGTGCTGATTTATGTGTTGGGGAGAAAACAGATGGATCTGTATATCGGGGAGACGAGTTATCCACAGAAAAAGCATCCTCAAGATTCGAAGGGATTAGGGTTTTGGAACGAGCAGAATGGTTCAATGAATTGGCATTAGCACTTGGTTGAGACAAGCGGGATAGTTCATTCAAGAACTGCTGCTGTTGGACATCAAAATCTTGCAACAAACTCAAGTCTTCAGGGGGGAAATCTCTAGCATTCAGTGATGTTCGCAAGCGACTGGACTGGAGGTTGCTTCCAGGTAAATGCAGTGACGGAACATTCTGTGGGGACCAACCCATATTGGACATGCCATCTGTAGAAGGTGACATAGGTGGAGCAAATGGAGATGAAGGAGAACCTGGTAAAAGGCTCATTGCTGCAGCGAAATCCATGGCATTAGCAGCAGAGGAAGTTGAGCGAGGAGAAAGAACAGCTGAACCTGTTGAGACATACAAGGGTCGGAGTTCCTCTTGCGTGTGGGCAAAGAAACAGACTCTGCGGTTGCAACTTGTACCATCTTTACAAAGACGAGTCCGATATTGAGCCGGGTGAAGCCAGCACTCAAAGACCCCGTGAGCATATTCACACATGTCCCCTCTTCTGCAAGCCCCCTTGCGAAAATCAGGACAAGGTACACAGCTGTAGTGGTATTTCCTTGGATCCCTTCTTCGAGCATTTTCGCCCGGGTGAACAAATGGGCACTCAGTCCAATCATGTGAGTAGGCACGAGAGCAAGGCCTGACCTTAAATGAAAACATTCTGAACTCATCTGTAGCATAGATGCTATTCTTGATGTCGGGCAAAGATGGATCACTGGGGTACTCTTTCTTCTCTGATGCAAACTTTGCGCTATTAGGACAAGCCACCAACTCCGAAGGAGATGACGGGGATCCAATATGAGGAGATGGTGAAAGAGGTGGAGAGTCTGAATTTGGAACAGTTGCTGACGCTCTCAGATTGAGTTCTTCAAATGTGGCGTCGTTTCTGAGAATCGTTTCAAGGGAAATTCTCATTTCTTGAAACTTTGGAGGGACGTTAATAACATCAAAGGGACAACAACCATTTGCATCCGCAAGATTAGGATTCGCACCAGCTGCCAAAAGTAGTTTCACAACATCAACGCCGTCAACTGATCCACCAGATGCGGCACAGTGAAGAGCAGTGCACTTGTCAACTCCAGATGATTGATTCACGTCTACTTCAGGTGAAGAGATAATCAGTTTCAGTACATCAAGGCTACCATAAGTCGCAGCCACCATCAAAGGAGTTCTTTGATGAAAAACCATTTGTTTCGAGCCCTTTTGACGTCCATACCAGAATCCAACCTCATTGATACAGAGTGGCTCGCGATCAACCAATCTTTTAAAGCCCTCTATATCATTGTTGGCTGCAAGTTCAAGCAAACTGGCAAAAGCATCTTCAGTTTCAACATTCAAAGGACTAACGTTCATGATTATAGTTCCGGTACTGACAAAGCGATTGGGAGATGATAAGGAATGGATCCCTTCTATGTTCCAATGGCTCCAACACACAGAAAATGCTTTTATTTCTGAAATCCAACTGGCGAAGAATTATTGATATTAGAATTAAAACTGAAGGAATCTGTAATCCTGTAACAAATAATCAACATAATTGGCAAAAACTCTGCAAAGAATAAAATTCAACCGCAAGCAGGAATAGCAATTAATTGACAGCCAAGAGGCTATCAACATGTGGGGTGAGAGAGGGGGCTACAAAATAAATGAAAGGTTGAAACTTTGTTAAAAGATGGCAAATAATAGAAGATAGCATCAGGAAAAATTTATCATTTCTAGATTTGGTAAATTTAAAGATAGGTTTGGATAGAGGGGAATCACTAGCTAAATTTGCATTGCAATTATTAGGAGAAGTGTCCAACTCATCAAAATGCTAAACAATAAATAAAAAAATAAAAAATAAAATAAATTAGGGTTTATACCTTTCACTATAATCATAGACAGTGCAATAATCAAAATAGAAATAGAGCTACATATATTAGTAATTAGATTTATGGAAGTATCAATTGAGAAATAGCTACAAAGAATAATTTGTTTAAATATGTAAAAAAAAAAATGAAGAAATTCAAAGAAACAGAAAAAAAAAATAAAAAAATAGAGCAGCAAAAACAAAATGAACAACACAAATTTCCACTTTTATCTACCTCAACCCAAGAAAAATAAATAGGAGTAATGAAGATCGAATTGAAATTGAAAGAATCCTCAAACTCATAAACTCAAAATCATACATAAATATAGTAAGTTATGTGTATGCCTACACACACAGAGAGAGAAACACACACACACACACACACACACACATATATATATATGAAGTACATGGAAGTAAAAATGGTTACAATTCTTACCGGTTAACAGTAATATGAAGAAGAAAAAAGCAAGACCAGCAGCAGCAGCAGCAGCAGCAACTTCATCAAATATAAATATATATTCTTGAATATGTTTAAAAAAAAAAAAAAAAAAAAAGACTTTACAGCAAGTTGTGTAATTGTATTGTATTTACAGATCTAGAGAAAAAAACAGTTGAATGAGAGAAAGTTGTAGTGATAACAAGAGGAACTTCTCCCTCTCTCTTCTGTCTTCGCCATTTCCTACGTTTTTTACTCTCTTGTTTCTCTCTCTCTGCTTTTTCTTCGACTGATCAATGCCGAATGTGATAGATTAATTTAATTAAAATATTCTGGAAGAAAACAGAGGTGACCTATACTTTTGAGTGAGATTTCATTTTAGTCACTCGACTTTTTTTTATTCCAAATTTACCATTGAAATTTCTACTTCATTCCAGTTTGTACACTGGATTGAACCTGAACCAAATCAAATCGGCCGATTTGGTCAAGTACTTCTTAAACTTTAAGCAATTTTAAGTACTGAAATCAAGAATCAAAAACCAAGTGCAATACCACATCAAGGATTACAATTTTTGAAGCAAATTATGTATATTGTTATTCCTGGAAGAAGAGTTAGTTAATCGTGCTAAAACTCTTCACAAGGTATTCTTTAAAATTGTAGGGCTTGTTTAAAAAGATTTTCTAATAAACATAACTATGGAACCAATTTTTCCATTTATAAGATTCTCGCTAGTTTGGTTAAACTTAGTTCTTTTGGAAATAAGACTTAATTTCCTCCAAAAGTCTGATAATCATTCATATGAGGTAGATAGGTTTTCTTACATGAACTCGACGATCAGTTTGTTGCGCTATCCAGAGATGTACACTTATGCTTTTTTAACACAAAATGTGTCAAGGAAATACAAGTAAACAAGAGAGAATAAAAACGGTTTTTAGATTTCCTTGAATCAAATTGTTTGAGCCATAAAAAAAGGATAGCTTGATACACTACAATCTTTACAAACGTAACTACAAGCTACTATTGTACAGAGAGAGAGAGAGAGAAGTCTATTGTACAGATAGATTAACGACGAGCCATAATTTGGGGAAAAAAAAATGAGTGACGATATTGAAATTTTTCTCAAAGTTGGCTGTTTTGGTTAATATTCTAAAAAAAACAATATTTGTTTTGTTGAAACAAACGCCTGTCCAATCCAAACCATTTTATACGCACGCCTACAAACTTTTTATCAGTCATTTTATTTCCTGCTTTTGTTATTTTATATTTCATCGTGACAGCCAATAGAATTATACGGCTTGCTTGAACCACGTTATTTTTAAACAAATACATTTTCTGACGATATTTTAACATTATTTTAACAACATATTTTTCAATAAATTAATATTACACATAAATTTAAAATTTTTCCTTATTTTTAACCATATATTTTCTATTGATTTTACATGAATAATGCATTTTTTCTTAAAACGTGGCTCAAACATGGGCATAGTGAACTAAACATAATTTAAAATTATTGAAAACTGAAACTAAACTATTATTTTATTTTCCTATCATCCCTATTCCAATTCAACCCATTACTTTTTAAAAACATTGAGTACCACTATGGAGGTGGGTCCCTAGCGCTTCATAGCTGCACACATGGCACTATTTGGTTGTTTTATTATAAATCAAAAAAATAAATTTTAGATTTTAAGCGATTGGGAAAAATAGGTTGTACGGGCCACAGTAGACGTGGTAGATGGTGAAGGTTTCACCAAATGGGTCAATCTCAACCGTCTGATTACCTACACTATGATTGTAATCCAAATATCAATGTCTGCCTTCTAATATATAAACATAAACAGAACAATATCAGGGTGTTGTACAACAATCTGGGATAAAATACTTAGGTCTAAGAAAATTTAAATTTTTGCTAAAAATCATCGAGACGAAGCGCTTAGAGTAGGTAACATATGACAAGCAACCAAAAACGACCTCACAAAATACGAACCCTCTTGAATGAATTTCTTCGAGTTACACGCCATACTCTGAAGCACTCAAATATTCGCCGTGTTCCTCGAAGTACTCCACCAAACGCTTTAAGAATTTATCACTACTAACTGTCTCGGTGTCGCAGACGAGGCAACATTGTCTCCTTGCTCGTGTTACAGCGACATTCATTCTCCTATGATCGCTTAAAAATCCCACCTTAATTCAAAATCAATTAATATTAGTACAATAATTTTTAATCATAAGTTAACCCCATCTAAAAACTTAAGTTCTTACAAATGGACAGATTATTTATTTAAATTATACTCGTGTTACTATGCAATTTGACCATCTTGACAGAAGTGTCTCACTAGCAATACCTCTTTCTTTGAGTTTGACCGCACCATTGAAATGATAATTGCTTCCTTCTCTCGGCCTTGGAAGCCATCGACTGTTGAGATTTCCACATCTTTTAGCTTATTTTCATTGCTTCGCAACATCTTCAGTAACACAACCTACAACAGCAATTTCATCATAGAATTTAACAACTTTGAGATACTTTTTAAGTCCTCGACCAACTTGTGGAGTTCTAATTTTTTGTCAATGTAATAATACCTGTGCTGCATAAGGTGTTATGATACCTATATCGGAAGCATGGACTCCACTGTCCACAAGTCTCTTAGCATGTGAAATAGTGACGGCCGCTTCACCCTCATTCAATGTGCTATCTTCCTCATCTTTCTTCTCGTCCATGTCACAACTGAAACAGAATGGTATTAGAAAATATAAGTGTGTTCCGTACGCAGTATAAATAAGATTTTAACTTTTTTCCTTTCTTAATAATGTCTAGCACTATTTGGTCGCCCCAACAAACACCACAATAACAATAAGAACATGACCATGAACCATTTCACTGACCTGTTTACACTAGCATCTAATATTCACCTGCTATGGTAATGATATCCATTCCAACTTGTATTCAGGACATAATTGAACTTTTATGAAATTTGAAATAAACAACAACAGGATGTCGTGATTGTTTTTTATTTTATTTTATTTTTTTGAATTTTACTTCCCCTTGCTTACATTCGTGGGAAACTTTTGTATAAAATATAAGAGCAATTGAAAGTCAACAAAATTTTGTAATTTTGACATTGGACTGAAGCAAGAAACCATCTCAAGTGACTAAAAAATCCAGGCCACAGAAAACAAATGGCAAGGTAAAAGGCGTACCCAGTTGTGTCAACGAGAAGAAGCGTCGGCTCTGTTGAAGATGTCTTCTTTACATCCTCAATGTCATATAGTGTACGGGCGGCAACACTAGAATGGGCTTTAATCTTACAACATGCATAAAATAGTTACAGATCCGTGTCATGCTCGTATCTATCAGTACTACTAAGTCATTAATATGAGGAAAATGGCGATGAAGAGCAGAAAAAAATATGGAGCGATAGATTGAACAAGAATTCATCTTTAAACAAGATCCGAGAATTTAATACTTATTTAGCAAGTTCGTGCATGCAGTACGACAAATATGAGCATGGATAGTGAACATGAAATCTCCCAATGAGGGGGAAGTGGAATAAGAAAAAGATAATATAGTTCAAATATATCTGAGCACCTTACTGTCATAGAGTTCACCGGACGACCAGTTCATGATAAGTTCATGCATGCGGTACTGAACAGTAAGCATAGACGTGACTTCATCTCCATACAAGTCCGCGAGGCGTTCAAAGAGGGTTTTTCCTAATCCTTTCTTCTCAGCTTCAACACTTTGAATAGTTGGAGGAAGCTGGAGGTGATCACCGACTAGTATACATCTCGGACCCTACAATAACAAATTAGATAATTTAGCTGTAGTTTCAAAATAAGGCCGTTTCTAGGAGCCGGGCAGGAGGCCCAGCCGCCCTGCCATTTTTATGCCTCTATATGCGTGTTTTGAAGAAATAGAGTAACTTGGGCAGTTGTCATTAGCACCTTTTATTCTATAATTTTACCTTCAATAAAGCAATCCAGCACGCTATTTCAAGTGCCTGGGCAGCTTCATCAATAATAACCAAATCAAACGAAAGGCCTTCCAATTTCTTAGACAATGCACCTGTCAACGTTGTCAATACCACATCTGCATTTTTCATCACATCCGTCACAGCCAGCTGCTGCCTTTTACGTTCTTCTTTGGAAAGAGTCTTAAGCTCTCTTCTAATATCTCTCTTAGTATTTCTGTCTTTCACTTTTAACAGTTTCCCATTCAATGTCTGTAGAAATCCATAAAACGATGGAATCATCAAATTATACTTAAAAGAACACCAGGGTTAAGTGTACTTTGTTAAATTCAAAATTCACTAAACAGAGTGAAATAGTTTTTGCGCATAAATTTTAAAAAATATGAAAATTTATAGTGGATATCAAGGATATTTTGGTACTCATCAATTTCTTATCTGATGAACCAAACACGGTATTAATCTAGTCTAATCTCTCTCCTAGTTTAATCTCGCCTGATCTCTCACTTTTGAAATTCAAAACTATCATGGTCAAGAAAAGTGTAAAACCATGTTCACAGTGGTTACTAGTCTCAGCGAATAATTTGAAAACCCTTATAAGCATGAATCACTTCAAGAGCAAAGACCGGAAAATGTGTCGGAAGCTAGTATGGAACCATTTTATTGCTTATTGATTATTGATAAACAATGATAAAGTTTGTAACATGTCACATAATAAAACTAAACCCTAACCCATTGATAAACAATGACCAAGTTCACAAAATGGCAGATAATAACTGAATATTAACAATAATAAGACAGCAAAAACAATCCTATCCTATGAAGATGCTGCAGCTACTAAGCATATAAATGGGCCGCCCAATTTCATGTTGTTCCTCTCTAGTTTAAATTGATAATACACTTCATGTGTATTATGTGTTGATTAATAAAATATTTATTACCTTTAAAAAAAAAAAAAAAAAAGAGAGAGAGAGAAGGGGGGTGAAATAAAATTTCTCTTTAGGAGGTTGTAGATTTTCTTTTATTTCCATACCTTCATCTCCTTGCGGATGTCATTTGCAAGAGCACTATTATCCCCACGTAAAACCTACAGGGAATCAAGCAAATTATAAGTAAAACTTTTAAACTTCGAAAAAGTTCCAATTTCAAAAATGAATCGTAATCATTGAGGATTACGGTGCGGTTGAGTGTCAAAAGAGGGAGTGCCTTACTGGACATATTCATCCTTACTATCGTCATCATTAAAGATTTCTTGAAGAAAGAAATACTTGAACATATGCCCATACAGGTGTATATATAAGTAACTGCTAACAACTTGAGAAAAAGAAAAGTGGAATTCAAGATTAAAATAAAGTAATATAAACAAATAGCTAAGAGCATGTTTGGCTAAGCTTTAAAAGTTTACTTTTTTCTGCACTTATAAGTAAATTAAGTTTTAAAATAACGAAAAATTTATAGGTTAAAATTGGAAATAAGTAGGTTACTTGTTTTGAGTGTAATGTAAGATTCAGTGTCAAAATAAGCAATTTTTTCCTTTAGAAGTAAGAAAAAAGTAACATTTTAACACATTAGGAAACAAAAAGTTACTTGAGAATAATTATTTATTTTAAGCTTAGCTAAAGTTGCTCTATTAGGACAAGTCTTTATGATGTGGCTGCAGAGAGAAAGAAAATAAGAAAAGGAATAAGAGAGGCAGGTACTGGAAAAACATATGAAGGTGTTACCTTGGCATCAAGAGCGCTGTCAAGTACTTGAGGAAGTAAACGTGCAGGATGTCCCACTCTTACCAGCTTTACTCTGTTAATAAGTGGCAATAAAAGGTAAGTAATTTGGATCTTGCTAAATAATGTAACGAAATAACATAACAAAGTAAACCATTCTGTGACATCTCAGATTAGAAGTTCATAGAGGTACAAGAAAATAAGCTTCACGAGTTCAATCTTACGATCTAGTTTAAGATCTATATTAGCTGCCTTTATAGGAATACCCATTTACAAATCATTGAATAGAACAGAAATACAGATAATTTGAACATATCACCTGGCATATATAAAAGGACCTTAACAGGGAATTCCACTCAATGGTTTCCTAGAGATGGATAATTTTTTGTTCTATATACATGGGTCTCATCCTGATTCTTTCCAGAACATGGGAACCATGCAACTCAACTAGAAGAAAAACAAATAGAAGACTGCACTGATTTCAGATAACTCTCCGTCCTTTATATGAATCTTCTTCAAGAGTTCATGAAATATCAACTTGAAAGTTTTTTTGGCTTGTAACTTGAAGAATCACTATACCTATAAGGCACGAGTCTCTCAACGATGTTATCTACTGCAATATTTGAAGCTGCACAAGCAAGAACTTTTGATCCACGTTTTACTTCTTGCAAGATAATTTCAACCACAGTTGTAGTCTTTCCAGTTCCAGGAGGTCCATGCAGCAAAAAGAGGTCCTTGGATGACAGGGCCTTTGAAATGGCATCTTTCTTAGGAAACAAAAATTACGATTTAGTGCTATTAAACAATAAGTGGGTATAAATGCAATCTAACAAAGAAAAATATAGGAGAAGGTAGATAACTGTAAGACTATGATATACGCAAGCATAACGGAAAAACCAATGATTTAATCACAGAATTCTTAATATACCACCTACGTCCATTATTCCACAAGTACATTACTCAGCCTGTAAGAGAAGTTTGAAGGACAGCTTTCCAATATGAAACTAGGAATACCATAAGGTGAAATCACTTTTTTAACCTTATATCATTCACTAAAAAAGGTATCCCATCTAGGGCGAAAAATGAGCTTAGCACTGAAAAAACACCTGCTGATTTCATGTCAAGAGTTTTTGCAAATTATAGGCCTGCTATAGGCTTTTATTTTTTTCAATTTCTTCCAGTCTTTAATTGGAAAAGACAAATACATTAAACTTTTTTCAGCAGGCTATTAGTATCATATAAAGAAGTATCCGACAAGCAAATATTACAGCAGATGTGATGCATATTAAATGCATACAAAATGTATGCAATGTACAAAACAAGAACTCATTCACGCTCAGAAAATGTAGAGAGGTTACACAGGAAAAAGATACTATGAAAGATGATGTTTGAGAGACCTGTGAATGATCTAGGTTGGAATTTAAAGGGGCGAACTGGATATCATGTTTGGACACTGTCGGCCGTCTCTCTCCAAACAAGACAGGTACAAGGTCTGCAGCAGGACCCTTCTGCACACCTTTACTTAACTGTATCAAAGTATCTTTCATCCGACGATATGTCACCTACAAATCATTTACTTTTGGAAATATTCATTGCTTTTCACCTACTGAAACTTATTCGTACTGCATTTGCAGGATCTAGAGGTCCTCATATATACTTTATTTAGATTGAATCTACGATTTAATGTACCTCATTTGCCACTTTCTCAAGACGTAATGGAACATTCAAACCCTCTTCCGGGACATCATCAAAAGCAACAGTAATAGAAGAGTCCTGCTCCATATAAAACATTGTTGTATTTCTAATTAATTATACATGAAATGCAATTAAACAGAATCCATTTCATGAAGTACATTCAAAATTTCAAAGCCAAAATACCTTTATTCGATAAACAACACCCTGTCCGAGGGAAGGGGAACCCAAATCAGCCTTGTTTGGTTTCAGAACCACAACATCATGATTACCAAACTGGGGCAAAATAAATAAATAAATTCATTATTCAAGCCAAAGAATAGTAGCAATAAACAAGAGGAAAAAAAATAAAAATCAATTACTCACTTTAAAAAGGAAAGTAGCATTCAACTCCCAGTCACTAAATAAAATATTTACACAGATTCCACTTTTGAGTCTAATATTTATCTTACAAGATTACCTTTATTGCTTCACATTTGAACAAAATATATGAGAATACAACAATCCTAAATACCATCTTTGTAATACTTCGCAAACTCACATAACTTAAATAAGAAAACAGATTATAGGATTCGATTCATCCGAACTCATGCTATAAAGTGCTGAACTACACCAACAAGAAGTTCCTTTATGCTGTACTATGATAAACTACTATTTTGCTGTTCTGTCTAACATAGATACATAAAACTCCTGAGTAGGTCACTAAGCATAAATATTAAGCACAAACATATGCTCTTTTCTTCCAGGTAGAAACACGTGATAACTTGTACTTCAGGAAAGCACATGACTTGCATAATACAACATTACATGGATAATTTACCTTGTGAGGAGGAAGCACATCCCCTTTATTAGATTGAAACTCCAGCAGAGACTTGCCCATCAACCCTACCTACACTTGAAAGGCCACATTCACATAACACTGCTAGATATTCTCTCCAAATTATAATTAACAAACCATAACAATTGTTTATTTAAAAGCAAAATTTACTACCTGAGCATCTACACACTTCAAATTAAGAATAGTGGATCCCTTCTTTTGAGCAGTATCCAAACTCCTCCCCGAGCTCATTGAAGCCGATATCTCAGCTTCCTAAACAATAAAAGTCGATCATATATCTAATTATTCTAAACAACAAGGAAACCAGAACCTTTTTACATATTTTAATTGTTTTATATGACAGTTAATCTTAATAAAAACTGTGTTCTCATAAAATTAAAATAAAATAAATGAGCCACCGTTTAACAATTAAAAAAATATGAAATCGATCACAGTAAGAAGCCCAAGAGCAATCAAATGACCATTTCTTACTTTAAGAAGAAAAACTAAACAGGGAAAGAAAATTGAAAAGAAGGGCAGTTTCCATTTACATGAATCAGAAAATAATATTCAAATACAGTAAAAAATCTGTTGACATATATACATAATAATTACATAAATAGATACATAAAAAGAGTGCGTGAATTTACTTTTTCCATGTCGATTAAAGGAGCCATAATGGAGACGAATTGTTCTAGGGTTATTGGATTTGAAGATTGCTTATTTTTGCGCTTTCCTTTGTCCTTCTCCATGGCTGCCGCTGCTCAACACCTCGCCCTGTGCTTGTGTTTGTATCTGAGTGTTGAGAGAGACGACTGAGGAGCGTTTACATTTCAAAAATAAGTGAATTTTTATTGGCTAATAATTCCGAAAGTGGAAATTGGGTCAAATAACCCCTTTCATAATAAGCTTTACTATTTTAGCCTTTTACCAAGGTAAAAATTTTAAAATAAATATTTTAAATTAAAATTAATAAACTACCTGAATTACCTTTCTTCAACACTACACAATTTCCCCTCATACTCCCAAAATCGATTCAAACCCTTTCATCCCGTCCATTCTTCTCTCCCGAACGGGAACGCCACACAACGAGTTTGTTCTCTTCGAATCCCCCAACGCGATTCAATATAATCAGCCCCCCTCCCCAAAGCTTATTTTTCATTGAGGTAAGCTTTTTTATTTTTTCGAAGAGGCTTTATATGTGTGTATATATGGACGTGGAAACTCTTTATAATCGGTACATTCTTTGATAAAATGGTTGCTTCTCTTCAATTCCTGTATCCATACTAGCAGTTCATACTGGTTGGACATTGAATATGAGATTACTTAAGACTTTGGAAGAAGAATAAAGAATGCATAACAGATGTTTGTTGCTTGGTCTATGAAAGATAAAATATGACCGTAAAGAACTCTTGCAATTGTTTTATGTTATTTTCCTTCTCTTTACTCTCCGGCCTGCAAAAATTGCTTTATAATAGGCTTGGAAATCACTTAAAGTATCAAAGGAGTAATGGAACTTCCTGCTTTAATTAATTAAGTACGTTTTGCAAACATTATCAATTTCTTTCCTTTCCAATATTCTGATCATTCATATTTGCTGAGCTGATTTTAGGAGGGCAAGGGCCAGGAACCAATAAGATTTTCATATCTACAATGTGTTTCCTTAAATAGGAAACCACTATGAGACACGCAGAAGTGGTAAAACTGTCATAAGAATAACATGATTTTGGTATAAAATTTAGCTTTGAACCCCAAATTCTATATTGGCTATCGTTAAAGGAAAATATGGAATAGGAAAATGTGTTTCTAGAATGAACAAGATAGCATAATATTACAATATAGTGATAGGCATAGAAAAATAGTGACGAAGGGAACATTGGCTAGCCAATTGGCCAGAATTTGGATAAGTGATTGTACAATAATTTGATTGGGTAATAAACAAACATTTTGGGTGACGTTTTCGGTATGTTTAGTGAGCTCGACTGAGAAATACTATACAAAAATATGTTAAAATCTTTTTTATTAACTCGTCGTGTAATGGTGTTTAGTTTTATGTGTCAAAATTTTCCTTTATGATTCGATAAAGTAATCATGTTTAGCAGCAATGTCTCTTATTCATGCGATATAGGATATCTACTGCAATATATAATCATGTCGATTATCATGCATTTCAATTGAATCGACATTGTTAAACTTCAATTTCGCACTTCAGGTTGAATTGCTAATTGCAGCTCTCATGGGCTCCCAACTGTTTGGTAATGAGGCCATGAGAATTAGGACAAAATATCCTACCAATTCCATGCATAGCTACAACTGTTGGTTGATCATTTTTAAATGATTTCTTGCTTGAATTTGTATTTTTTTAGACTTTACAATATCTAGGAACCTTCAGCTATCCTTATCTATATTTCAGGCATTTAATTATGGTATACATCTGAAAATGTCTGTCATGTAGTCCCACATAGAATAGTCATATATATTCCAGTTCATAAATGGGTTCATCTTAAATTGATCATTAATATTTTGTGCCAAACTTATGTTCTTTGGGTGCCATGGACTAAACCTGATATCTAGAAGGTACTACTATTATTTCTTCTCATTTCTTTCACTTAATATCTTATTTTTGGTAAAATGTTTTCGAGTTGAATATAAGTACGAAAATCCACACATTTCTATTGTTTATTTTCATTCTGAAATGCACTTGTCATGAGTTTAGTAGTTATTTGGTTGGAATATAGTTGATTGAAAATTTGCAGCAAAGACTTGTGATTTGCAGTAGAAAATGTTTTTTATCATCTATGCTTTTAGTGAAAACTTATGATTGCAGCAGAATGACGGTAGTCAATTAAAATTTTCACGTCTGCTTTAGAAATTCTGAAAATGTCACTCTACCGTTTATGTAATTCTGATAACTTAACTTGATCATTTTATATTTTTCATTACAGAAATGGAACGCTCATTTGACTATGTGATTCCCATTTAACATAGCATTAAAGGCAAGCCTTCGCAGAAATCTTTTCTTCAAAAACTTGACTATGTTTGAAAAATGTTAGATGATGTTCATCAAGAAATGCTTATGGAATCTTGTTTCGGACAACTATATCGAATGAAGTATATACCTTTTTTAGCACAGCTAGTCCACCAACTTGTATTGAGAATGACTGTAATCAAAAAATAAAATGAGATCTAGTTTTCAATTGGAGGTAAGCCAACACGATTTTCATTATACGAGTTCTCATTGATAGCGGGGTTGAGAGTTAGTGAGGAGCCTTCATTGGAGCCCCATGTTGTGACTAATGATAGATTGGTGAAGAAATACTTTAAAAAGTGTAAGAAATGCATAACGGTGTACAATTTGAAGGAAGCTATTGAAAGTTGCAAAGTGCGTATGGAAGACAAGTACAAGATTGGGCTCGTATATATTTTGGAAACGGTAATACTACCCAAAGAAAGCTACATATACATAAATTTAGAACACTTGTCAATGGTTGATGACCTAGAGGCTTTTAATAGTTATCCTTGGGAGAGAAAGGCGTTTGGCCGCACAATAGATGTATTCACGAGAGACTGGAAATCATTGGTGAAGTCACACTTGATAAATAATGAGAAATATCCATATTCAATTTATGGATTTCCACTCGCTTTGCAGGTAATGTTTTTAAAATTACAATTTATTATTCATTTTGTTTAGATTGTAATATTTTGCATCTTATGCAAATTTGGGCCTATGAAGCCATACCATCTATTGGACGGAGATATGGTGAGAATCTACAGGAGGCTGACCTCCGCAGAATATGTCGATGGAATTCTTCTGAAATGCCTAACTCCAAGGATATTGGTGCAAGTATAGACGAACCAAATGTAAGTAAATTTTAAATGTACATCAAAATATATAGTGTACTTTATAATAACTAAGTGGGCCTCTTATTTTTCATATAGATTGTTGTTCATTGCACATTGAAGCCTACGCCGGAAGAGGCTTCCAAAGCATATTAGACAAAGATTCATTGATTCGAGAATGAAGTAGAGGATCCAACATTTGATATCTTTGTGGATAAGGAAAATGTAGCAGATTCGTCCATTCGTGTTGATTTTCCTCAGCAAACTTGCCAGTCTCCTAATGCCTCTACATCTCCTCGGGATCCATCTTCTTTTTATAGGCCACCTACTTCTATAAATGCTCATACATTTCATCTGGGACCATCTACATCATATCCATCTCTGTATCCATCTAGAGATGAGTTCGTTTAGGAATTGAGAATGCAATTACTACAGATGGTAGAGATTTTAGAGAGGAAAAATGAAGGGCAGATAGATGAGATGCGATCTTACATAGACCAAAGGTTTGATTGTGTTACATCCTTGTGTAGACAAATTGACGAGAAGATATCATCTGTTGTAGAGTGGATGAAGAATTCTAACCCGTCAACAACACCTTACACATATCACTCTCCTCTTCGTAGTGGATTTATGAATACTGGAGAAGTATGTGATGTAAATGAGGATACACTTGTACATGTAGAAGTTCAAAATGATGAGAATGAAGATGGCAATGAGGAGAGAGAAGTGGAAGATTATGTGTTGGCAAATGAACCAGTTCTTGTAAAAGAAGCAATGTTGCCCGCAGATGGCAATGAACAAAAACAAGCAGATAATATGAATAACTGTCCAAATCCCATTGAAGTGGAAAATGAGCAAAGATAAGCAACAAATTTGCCGAATGATGATCAAACTCGTGTGGAAGAGAGAGATACTTGTGTACCGATGGATTCTATATCACATGGTGATGTAATGGAGTCCATCCCTATAATGGTGGAAGATGAGTCTGATAAGTCAAGTCAGAATAGGCGCGGGATGAAAATCAAGAAAATGTTACTCGTTCTTAAATCTCCATTCACAAATCTGGAGAAGAAGAAGCTTCACAATGTAAACGCATTTAACCCATTTCGAGAGCTAGATCCGGCTAAGGCACATGACTTAAAGAATTGGTTGGTTAATGCACCTGATAGGTAACTATTCTTACATTAATTATATTTGTGAAGTTGTAATATATGTTCTTATGTTATTTGTTTTATGCAGTGAACATATGGAAATGATATTGTTCACGAAGCCAAAAAGTTTTTTTGTTGAAATTCAGAAGCAATTTGGATGGCTCGATAGTGATGTAAGTACTTTAGCATTCTATATTTTTCTCATACTTCATTTCATTCTTAAACGGCTTTATACATCTGCAGCACATTGACATAGCGTTGTTGTTGATAAGAGCACGAATACATACATATCTTACTGTGTTCCCACAAGATTGTACAATTTTGGATTGTACTTTTACTAACATGCGCACCAAGATGTTTGAAGATTTTGAGCTGTATAAGAAACAAAAAAATCCAGTAGAAAACTTTAAATGGTTGAAAAATATGACAAGATATATATATGGTAAAAATCCAGAATGAAGCAAGTGATGGGATTCATTCTCAACACCGACGTATAACGCATACTCATTTATTGGTACCACTATCAGTCCCTTTGCATTATTATACTTTTTACGCATTTTATCTTCAATGGGCGGGGTTAGAGTAGTTGCACATTTTTCAGCCTCAATGTGTCTCTCATAAAACAATTTCTGTAAAAATTTTCCTATTTGCTCAACCGTAGCAACTACTGGAAACTCCCGAGCATTCTTGAATAACGAGTTCAAAGATTCTGCATTGTTAGTTGTCATAATATTGTAACGGATTCCTTTGAAATGTGATTGGAACCAAAATTCATACCCAGCTTTCTTTTCTAGGTATTGTCCAACTGCCGAACTTTTACGATATAGATTTGCCATTGATTTTTCAAAATTAATCAAACTATACTCCTTTGCAGTTGCCATAAACAATGGCAGAATATCGGCCTTATGATAATTTGACTTTATGTTTAGTTGTAGATGTCACATGCAACATCCATGATGTGTATAAGGATAAACAATCTTTATAGCGTTACCAATGCTATCCTTGCGATCAGAAATGAAAACAAGCCATTCCAACATACCCGTTACTTGAAACAACTTCTCGAAGAACCAAGTCCATGATGCATCATTTTCAGAATCAACAATGCCAAGAGCAAGAAAATATATCTAAGGATTTGCATCTTGACACGTGGCAACAAGTAACGTACCTCGAAATTTTGATTTCATAAATATTCCGTCCACAGAAATGACATGTCTCGTTGATGAGTGAAAACCATGTATGCTTGGTCCTAAAACTATAAAAAGATATTTAAATTGGTTCTCATTATCAACCTCAATAAACGTCATTGTACCGGGATTATTCTTCTTCGGAACATTGCAATACTTGGCCAATCTATCATAACTAAGATCAGGTGAACCTCTTAATAGCTCTATAGCACATTTTCTAGCTATCCATGCCTTATAATAATTTATATCTATGCCAAACTCTCGACGAATATCATTTTGAATGTTCGAAGATCTGTATATAATGTTGGGATCCTCAAACTTCGACATGATGTGTTTCCAATCATCCAACAACTAGCTTGTCTATGATCTTTGTGGCGAACATCCAATGAACAATTATGATAACGTGAATACTTTCGAATTTCAAATTCGTCACTTTCATTCAATCGTGTTGCCCGCAAACGCCATTTGCAAATTTTCTCAACACAAACTACTACATATGTACTCTTATTTGACTTAGTGACCTTAAATTCAAAAGAGTTTCTTACAGCAAGCATTTGTAGTGATGCCTGAAGATCCTTTTTGTTGCGAAAAAATTGGCTAACATGCACATCATCGACGTCAAGAATCTTAACTGATGTTCCACAAGGATTCGGGCAGGCAACAACTTGGGAAATGTCAATGATCTCATCTACCAATGTAAAAGGTGTATTATGAGTAACAGTGTCTTCATTTATCACATGAGAATCATCTATGTAGTTGTCATGCACTACTTCTACCCCATCTCAATAATCACCACTTGTAAAGTTCACATAATCGTTTTCACAATTTTGATTACATGGAGACAACGGTCGCATATAATTGTCATCGGACTGATCATTTTGCATATTCAATTCATCCATGTCCACTGCATTGTTAGTTGCAACAACATTTGAACTGTATTCATGATTCTCCTGAACATTTACAATATCAACATTCATGTCTTGTTGATCAACATAACCCTTTTCTACAAGGGTTACACAAATTGGAACTTTGTCATGCAAAGAAAGAAACCAACTAACATCCATAACACAAGTAATCTTCATTGGCGAAACTGATAATTTTGCCATGCCGGGAACGAGAAATTTCATCCCGATATCATACACATTAGGATCAACCTTAATTGCTTTTCGGACTTCGTTATACAACTCTGCATATGAGATTGTTTTTGATACAAAAATATTTGTTGCGGTGGGCTTAATATGGTGAAAACTAAGCATGCAATCATTCATTGTAAGCAAGAATAATGCGTATGAAGAAGAATAAAGCTGAATTTGAATGTGGGTTTAATATGGTGAAAATGGACTTGGAAACGAGAGAAATGAAGGGGATTTGGGAATTTATATTTGGGGATTTCGGTAATATTCATTTCCAGAGTGGACATTTTAGTCATTTCAGTTTGATGGTATTTAAGACTTTTAATATATAATCAAATAGACTATGGACTATTTGAACAAAAATTATAAATATAGGCTATTTTACCAAAGATTATGGTTGACCAGGCTTCATAAACAAAATCCCCGAAGTCCACATTTGCAAAATGACTTTTGATCAATTTACGTACCAAATTTGCCCTCCATTTGAATATTACATAATAAGACACTATAATATAGAATCCTCTATTTTAGTCCTTAAAATTAAATATTGGTTGAAATTTGATAGTTTTTATTTGATTTATTTGATTTTTGTTCGCTCTAAGTGGCCCTCCTTATTGGTATCAGAGTCATAGAAATCATGAGAAAATGTATAAAAAATAGATCACGTGAAGAAGTATAAATCTTTACATTAACACTTAGATTTTATATAAGCTTAATAAATAACAGATTAACTATTAGAAAATTAAAGGAATATTTAGATTATACATCTTTAAAATAATAATTGATTATACACAAATATTTACATCTCGATAAAAACATAGAGATTACGGAAATTAAAATAAGAAAAATAGATAATTATTAATGTTTAGAAGAAGAGAGAGGTAATTATATATTTTAAAAACCTATTCATAATAGATTAAAAATAATGACACTAACAATAATTAAAGAGTTGCCTAGAGAAATAAATGAACAAATATTAGAAAAATTAATAATAGAAAAAATAAAGGATATATATACATATGAAAAAATTATTAATATATATGATGATGAAGAAAATAATTTATATTACAAAGAAAAGTATGAGTGCAAGTGATAATACACATTTAAAATTGAATAAATTACTTATAAAAATGGGAAAAATACAAGAGGAAATACAAAATATAATGTTAATACCAGAAAAAATGAGAATATCAAATAAAAGACAATTAATAAAATTAAAATGTGAAAGATTAAAAATTGAGAGTAGATATTTTACTATAATAAAAAAAGGATTAACAGATCCTGATACAACTAAGAGAAAATTTGAAAAAATAATAGATAAAAAGTAAGATAAAATATGCAAATTAACCTATAGGTTAGAAATAAGAAAAAATTAAGTGTCAATAAGTGAATATATGGAAGAATTAAAATCATTAATAAAAATGTTAATAAATGATGTACAAGATTTAAAAAATGAAGTAAAAGAAACAAGAAACGATATAAATATATTAAAAATTGAAATTAGAGAATTAAAAGAAAATAATAAAAATAAAGATAAGAAAATAGATATAAAAAAACCTTATAGAAAAAGAAATGTCTCGAATAAGAAAGAAACATATAGAAAAAAAGAATATAGTAGTAGAAACAATAAGTATGAATGTGTTATAAAAGAGAGGAAAAGATAATAGAGAAAACTCAATAAACTTTTGTGTGTATTATTGAAAATCAAAACCCTATATTTATAGGTAAGAATCAGGGATATAATGGTAATAATTTCTAGGGTTACAAGGGTACAAATGTTATTCACCAATAAACTTTAATGGACTTTCCATTTACAACACTCCTCCTTGAATGACATATTACAAAATATCTGCCTCGTTAAAACCTTTTTTGATAAAAACCCAATGAGAAAAAAAAAATCAAACGAAGGAAAAAGAGTACAGTTATTTTAGAGTATTAAAATTAAATGTTGCCTCATTAAAATCTTTCTAGGAAAACCCAATGGGACAAAATCTAAGCAAAGGAAAAAGAGTACAGCTACTCCCCCTAATGTTGATCACTGAAAAACTTTGAGTCGACGCATTCCAATCTCATGAACTAATTTCTTGAATGTAGATGTTGGCAGCGCTTTTGTGCATAGATCAGCCACATTGTCACTTGAGCGAATTTGTTGAATATCAATGCCACAATTCTTCTGAAGTTCATGAGTATGAAAGAATTTTGGAGAAATATGCTTCGTCCTGTCGCCTTTGATATAACCGCCCTTGAGTTGTGCGATACAAGTTGCATTATTTTCAAACAAAATTGTTGGACTATCTTTTGTTAAAGTTAATCCACATGATGATTGGATATGATGGGTCATATTCCTCAACCATACACATTCTCGCACTGCTTCATGGATTGCAATAATCTCATAATGATTTGAGGATATTGCTGTCAAGGATTGCTTCACAGATCTCCATGATATAGTTGTTCCTCTACGTGTAAATACATATCTTGTTTGTCATTTAGCTTTATGTGGATCGGAGAGATAACCTGCATCTACATATCCCACTAAAGCAGATCTTGTCTTTTGAGAATAAAACAGTCCCATATCAATAGTACCTTTTAGGTAACGAAAAATATGTTTAACACCATTCCAATGTCTTTGAGTTGGTGTAGAGCTATATCTTGCAAGGAGATTTACAGAAAAAGCTATATCAGGTCGAGTGCAATTTGCAAGATAAGTTAATGCTCCAATTGCACTAAGGTATGGTACTTCAGGACCAAGAATCATTTCTCCATCTTCAAGTGGACGAAATGGATCTTTTTTCACATCAAGCGATCGAACAACCATAGGTGATGGCAATGGATGTGCATTATCCATATAAAAGCGTTTCAAGACTTTTTCTATATAAGTAGATTGACGAACAAATAATCCCTCTGAAAAATGTTCAATTTGTAATCCAAGACAAAATTTGGTTTTCCCCAAATCTTTAATCTCAAATTCATTTCTCAAATAATCTGCAGTTTTGTTGAGCTCTTCAAGAGTTCCAATTAAATTTAAATTATCAACATAAACTGCAACAATTGCAAATCTAATATTTGTTATCTTTATGAAAACACATGGGCAGATATCGTCATTTTTATAACCCTCTTTCAACAAATATTCGTTAAGGGATTATACCACATGCGTCCGGATTGTTTCAATCCATCTAATGATTTTTGCAATTTAATTGAGAACATAGTTCTCGGACATGTATCATTTATTCCTGGCACCTTAAATCCTTCAAGGACTTTCATATATATGTCACTGTCAAGTGAACTATATAGGTAGGCAGTTACTACATCCATAAGGCGCATATCGAGCCCTTGTGACACAGTCAAACTAATTAAGAACCTAAAAGTGATGGTATCCATTACGGGAGAATATGTTTCCTCATAATCAATTCCCGGCCTTTGGGAGAAACCTTGAGCCACTAGTCGAGCTTTGTATCTTGTAATTTCATTATTCTCATTTCTCTTTCGTACAAAAATCCATTTGTATCCAACAGGGATTACATTTTCAGATGTTCAAACTACTAGTCCAAACATTTTTTATTTCTCCAAAGAACTCAATTCTACCTGTATGGCTTCTTTCCTTTTTGGCCAATCATTTCTATTTCGACAGTCATTAACAGATTGAGGTTCAGGATCCTCATTTTGCATAATATCAAGAGCCGTGTTAAAGGCGAAAATATTTTCTATAACAATATTATTCCGTTCCCATAATTTATGAGATATCATATAATTTATTGAGATCTCATTATTTTCGGACACCTCTGGTTCTTCAGGAACCATAAATTCAATATTTGATTGATCAATCTTTTCTAATGTGATTTCTGAAGTTTTTGGTTGGTTTTTCTCCTGTACTCTTCTTTTTCGAAGTGCAGAGTCTTTTGAACCAATTGGTCGACCACGCTTCTAGCGTATTTGAGATTCATTTGTCACAGCAGATTGTCCTGCAGGGACATTAATTTTTGTTGGAATATTTTCTGTTAGAATATATGACTTTGTCACTTTTCTCGTGTCAATAAATACATCAGGTAGTTGAATTGCAACTCTTTGCAAATGAATGATTTTTTCAACTTCTTGTTCACATTGATTGCTGTGGGGATCAAAGTGAGATAGAGTTGTTTCATTCCAAGAAATTCTTTTTGTTTTTCAGGATGTAGTTTTTCTCCTCCCAAAGTTAGGAAAGTCATTTCATCGAAATGACAATTTGCAAAACGTGCAGTAAATAAGTCACCCGTTAAAGGTTCAAGATATCTAATAATAGATGGTGAATCAAAACCCACATAAACCTCAAGTCTTTGTTGGTGACCCATTTTAATACGTTGTGGGAGGTGAAATAGGAACTTGGACAACACAACCAACAATCCGTAGGTGAGAAATATCAGGTTCATGACCAAATGCAAGTTGCAAAGGTGAATACTGATGATAGACAGCTTGTCTTATACGAACCAATGATGCAGTATGTAATATGGCATGACCCCAAACAGAAGTTGAGAGTTTTGTTTTCATAAGTAATGGTCTAACAATAAGTTGTAAACGTTTAATAAACGATTCCGCTAAACATTTTGTGTATGAACATGTGCAACTGAATGTTCAATTTCAATTCCAATTGACATACAAT